AAGTCCTCCTCACCCCTGGCTCCTCTCCCACCCCCACCCCCCATGGAGTCCTGCTCCTCACCTTCACCCTGTGCCACTGCTGCCCGGGGCCTCACTCCCCGGCCGAGGAAGGAGGACAGAGGACAGAGGGACGTGACGTGGAAGGGCGATGGCTCTTTCTAGCAAGCGCTCGCTCTTTTACTTGGACAGGGAGGCCCTTGACAGGCCTCTGCCCACCCCTCCTTGGCCAAGGGCCATCCCACCAGCCCTGCTGCTCGGGTCGGGATGGAGAGCTCGTGGCCACTCAGCGCTGCCCCACAGAGCAGCGGCTGGCTGAGGGGGCGCCGAGTACACGTGGTGGCGCCTGCTTGGAGCGCCCACGTGTTCACCAGGACGCGCGCATGCCGTCACCGGAAACAGCTTCTCCCGTCACGGTTTCATGTTTGTCCTTCTTTTCAAACTGAGGGTGGAATGCTTACTTACATTTGCTCTAGATACGTTTCTGGGCTGTAATGAGGGGTCAGCATAGTGCGTTATATGTGTACGAGTGTATGAAAGATCGAATGTTCACATAGTTTATTTGCATAATGATGATACTGGGGTCTACTGGACCTTGTTTTAAAGATAACTGGTAATCGTTCTGTCGCCTAACATCACAGCTCTGGTGCCTCTGGCCAATGGGGGCGGGGAGGTGACAGTGCCGAGACCTGGAGGAAAGTCCTAGCCAAGCGACCCCTAAGCCACCGTTTCAGCGCACAGAATCCTGCCTGACTGCCTTCACACTCCGTCATGGTGGCCTCAGAAAAGGGTTAGAAACGTGGTTCTGCCCGTGCCTGGTCATCTCTGCTTCTGTGTTAAGACCTGCTGTCTCATTTCTCTCCCGTCAGGCTTCAGTGTTAGCTGCAGAAAGCGACCCGTATGGGCCTTTGCCGCCGGGCTGGGGTAAGCTAATGCGCTGTCGGTAAAAATATCTGCAAGGTGTGTATAGAAATGGTTGTTAAATGCTGTGTTCACTTTGTTTTTAGAAAAAAGAGTAGATTCAACAGACAGAGTTTACTTCGTGAATCACAACACAAAAACCACGCAATGGGAAGACCCAAGAACTCAAGGGTACGTCGTATCCCAGCCTGGCCTCTGTCATCTGCACCCTGTGTAGCTAGAATTGGGGAACCCTTGACCCATGTCCTCAGTGCCTGGAGGGGTCACCTGATGGTCCCTGTCTTTCAGCTTACAGAACGAGGAGCCCCTGCCGGAGGGCTGGGAGATCAGGTACACGCGGGAAGGCGTGCGGTACTTCGTGGACCATAACACCCGAACCACGACATTCAAAGATCCACGCAACGGGAAGTCGTCTGTGTGAGTGACAGCCTCAGGCTCTGAATGCTGTTTCCTCCAGATGTAGGTTAGCCGCCAGCTTAGCCTCAAATTGTACCCTTAGATCAAGAAAACCTACTGAGGAGCGCCCCAGTGCAGCTGTGCTCGCGCGGCATAAAGATTACGACGTCGGCCAGGCCGGCTGGTTTCAGAACCAGGCAGTCTGTCCCCTGTCCTTGCTCGTCGGGGCTGCGGCCTCGGGGGAGATGCTCAGCAGGACTGAGTCCTGCAGATGAGGCGTCTGACAGGCCTGCGCCAGGCGCTCCGTCCTCCTCCTGAGGGCGAGGGCTCAGAACAGAAGCTGCCATGAAAGGCCTTTAGCAAATTCCTACCATCACAGGAATTGTCTCCCCCCGCCCTGACCCTCCTCCCGCTCAGGCGCCCCGCAGTGCCCTCCTCCTGGGCCACAGCACCAGCTTTCCATCTCCCCCATGTTGTTCTCGTCAGCTAGGTCTTCTGGATGAAAAACAAACCAGATCCACTCTTCACCTTCCAACTCCATTCCGTAAACATCTGTTCTTATTGCTGCTCTTTCAAGGAAGAGTACCGGGAGTTGTCTTTGTGTTGTTTCTCATTTCGGTCTAGACCAGCTCTGGGACGCCCGCTCCTGTACTTGCTGAGGGCACCCTGCTGCCTGTGTGGGCGGGCTGTGTCCTGTCTCAGGGCTCCCAGAGCACTTGACCCAGCAGGTGTCGAGCAGGAGCAGGTGGGACTGGACATCCTGGGTGCCTGTGCCACCCTGGCCTCCTCTCCCCGGCCTCCTAATGGCCAAGGCCCCGCGCTCTGACCTCCACTGTCTGCACTCCTCCTCGTGCTGCCTCTCCCACTGCCCTGCTTTTTCAAAAGCGCCTGTGCCTCACACACCTTCCTCTCCACGTTTGCTGCCTCTGCTCAGCGGCTGCCTGTTATCTCTGCTGTCGCCCCTTCCTGACATTCCTGCAGCGCCTGCTCCTCCAGGGGTGCTGCCGGCGGCGCCATGTCGGGGTGTGTGGGCTGGCACCTCGGGGTCCTGAGTCCTCTATCCTTCCCCGGCCCTCAGCCCATTGCACCTGCAGCTCCTGCCCTCGCCGCTCCCAGACCCCGCCTCAGGACACGGCATGCAGCTGTCCCTGTGACCAAGCCCTCGGCTCGGGCGCCCGTTCCCCTGTCCCCGCGGCTGTGCCTCGTGTCTCCGGTCAGAGGTTTCTCAGCAGGAGACGCTCCACTGCCTCCTGCCCTTCCCACACCCGCAGGAAGCCCTGCCCCCTCTGGAGACATACCTGTCCGCTCAAGAGCAGCCCCATCTGTGTGCTCAGCACATGGCACTCTCCCTGCCCAGGAGGGGCCGGTGTGCCTGCTTCTCATCCTGCGGGCCGAGTGAACGCCCTTGGGCCCGGCTGCGCGAGAAAACCTCTGTCCCAGGTGTCCCCTCCAGCCGGCGGGAAGCTCTCTGTGCTGGTCTCAGGCTCACTCAGCAACTGGAGAGCCAGGCGCGGCCCCGCCTGCTGCCCACTCGGCCCCCCTCCCTGGCCCCTGAGCCACCCGTCCGGGCCCCGTCTAGCTGTGCTTCCGTCTGTTTTCATCTCGGCTCTGGGCTCAGATGCAGAATTGCCTCCGTGTCCCTCTGCCCAGGCCTCTGTCCCTCAGGGTTAAGGTGACCAGAGGCTCCTTTAGAACAGTTGGCAGTGGGCATGGATGTGTCACTCACCGCGTCCCTAGTGCAGCCTCGGCCCGTGTGCAGGGTCGGGGTCCTCGCTGCTCGAGCCCCTGCCGGCCCAGCAAGCTCCCCTTTGCTCCCCCAGCCGGTGCTGTCCTGTCCCTCCTCGCCTCGCTGAGTGCACAGAGCCCACCCTGGCCCGCGAGCTGACCCCTGCTGTTCTCTCTCTAGAGCTAAAGGTGGCCCGCAGATTGCCTACGAGCGCAGCTTTCGGTGGAAGCTTGCTCACTTCCGATACCTGTGCCAGGTACGAGGTGCTGACTGGGGCTCCCGTCCTCGCATGTAGTCCCATCCGTACACAGTGCTGCTTCCGAGCTTACGTGATGCCACGGTGTTGTTTTTGTTTTTAGTCCAACGCACTCCCCAGTCACGTAAAGATCAATGTGTCCCGGCAGACGCTGTTCGAAGATTCCTTCCAGCAGGTAAGGCTCCATCAGAAACCCCAGCAGGCCTGACCCTTGTGAGGGACGGCGGGCTGTAGACACCATTGCCACGCAGAAGGCAGCTGGCAGTGACCATTGCCCTGAGCCGGGCGCTGGCATTTCACTCGCCCCACGCACCCTCTACCTGACGGGCGGGCGAGGCGCGGGCTGACAACCATTCATTCGGCCGCGGGCGAGGTGGCGGAGGGAAGCCTCAACGGCTTCTGGGACATTTTGACACGTAAGACCTCCTAACTCAACAAAAGTCTTGGTAATCCTACCAAGTTAAAATTGACTAGGTAAAGCTACGCAGCCATTTGCATACGCCTTTCCTAATGCTGCGGCCAGTCCGGTGTAAATACCATGCTCCCAGGGGCCCCCCAGCCCTGAGGCACTGGCTTCTGCCCGGTGGACGGGACTGCCACTGGGTGGGAGCACAGCTGCTCGGCCACTGCGATGTGCGGTGCCTGGAGCGGCCGGCGCATAGCAGGTGTGCAGAAGCACGTGGTGGGCGGGTAAGCAAGGGGAACGTGTCTCCTCGCCCGACTCCCCCACAGAATATGTAAGGACAAAGTCAGAGTCTTGTCACCTCTCTTTCTGTGATGAGGTGGAGAGCTCCTCACGTACATGTGTCCTGTCCCCGCAGAGCACTCCCGCCAGGACCCAGGGGCCGGTGTGCCAGATGCCCTCGTCCTGGCTCTCTGACCGCTGTGCGTGGGGCAGGGCTCTCCCTGCAGCTGCCACAGGTGGTAAACGAGTGGCAGAGGGCCCCGTCCAAGCTCTGTCTGAGCTTTATTTGGGGGAGTGTGCCTCCACACTCAGGCTGCCTTGCTCTGGGCTCGCCTGAGGCAGTCATGGCCTGTGTGACGTGCAGCCGTGGCTCGGTGCCTGCCTGTGCTGGGCCTGACCACACGTGCAGCCATGGCTCAGATTCTGACGCGGGACAGAACTCACTGCTCCCCAGAAGGCAAGCCTGTTCCCTGGGGACTGTATCGTAAGCCAGAGATTGTTACGCAGGCGATTGGCGGTGGTGATTAAGACTCACCGTGGTGAATGCACGTCTTCCACGCCCTCCTGCTCCAGCAGAGCCTTCCTGGGAATGGAGTGGGCGCTGGAGGGAGCAGGGCTCAGCTTCTCCCTCCGTGGCTCCGCCCCTCCTCCAGGCCTGGGTGGGGCTGGCAGGATGTGAGGGAGGAATGGTCTCCAGCCTCCAGGTGCTCTTGGTCAGGCTGTTCCTCTCCTGGCTCTGACCCCGGGTAGAGCATGCTCAGCGCGTGGGGGAGGGGACCCCGAGGGGAGAGCTGAGCGCAGGTCATTGCTGGGTGACATAAGGAAGGGTGTGATTTTGAAAATACAGAGGAAATTACATTGAATTGTTTATAGAAGCAACTTGTGCTACATATTTGTGTTTAAATGTCCCTGCTTCTTTTTAGATTATGGCATTAAAACCCTATGACCTGAGGAGGCGACTCTACGTAATATTTAGAGGAGAGGAGGGACTTGATTATGGTGGTTTAGCAAGGTAAGCTAAGGCGTCTGCTTTTAGATAGTGTGTCTGCACTTATGCAAGGGGCGTGTTCTTGAAAAGATGTGTTTTTAATAGCAATCCAGCATTTTTAGAAATCAAAATGAAA